CAGTGTTGCCCTGCTCTGTTCTGACGAATGCCTCTTGGTCCAAGTATAGGTTTCGTATTAGCACGATTAAATGTTCTGGGATTCCCATTCTTCTCAGAGTCAGCCACAGGGTTTTTGTTTTTTTTTTTTTAGACTATTAAATATTTATTAAAAGCCAAATCTTTTCTCCATAATAAACAGAAAACACGTGTGATTGAAAAGATTGAAAGAATCATTCCAAACCCACTACCAAACTATGTCTCACTAAATGGTAAGATATTTTGACATTTAAAATTAGGAAGTCTTTACACAACTAGTGGAAGGTGGAGTGGCATCCACTTCCATAACAGCTTGCCTCTGGAAACCCTATGAACCCGGAGAAAGGAAGAAAGGCACCCAGGCACCGAGGAATCTCCTTCATAGGGACGCTATGAGTCACCTGCGACTCAAAGGCACTTAACAACAATAACATCAACATAGAGAGAGAGATCAGCTGGCCCAGTGAACAGAAAGCGACGCTACCAAGCCGAAGGTGGGTGACTTTTAATCCACGGCCCTCGGGCCTGTCTTTCACTGTTTTTGTTCAGACATTCCTTTAGGACGTACAGCCCTGGTGTACAAGTTGCCGTACCACATTCACTTTTGGTTGCTGTGAGGCTGTAACACTGTAACACTATTGTGTCAAATGTGTTAACGATTGGCTACCAAATGTGGACAGAGAGTGGGGTGGAGCTCCCCAATGAAAACAAACTTGGAAGGAGGAGTGGCATCCATGTACTTAATAGTTTGCCTCTGGAAACCCTACGAACCTGGAGAGAGGATGAAAGGCACCCAAGTGTCGAGGACTCTCCTTCATAGTGTCACTATGAGTCGACGGCACTTAACAACAACATACACAACTAGAAGGTATGACAGGGAAGGGAACCACCTAAACCAAATATGGCCAGGTCAACCATTTACATTTTACAGTCTTTCAATAATGAAGCACATAAAACTGTACTACTTAATTATTTCTCCATGAACTTTTTATGAAATTCAGATGGCAGCGTATCATTTACAAATCTTATTCTTCTGCTCATCTACACCTTTCACACAGGTCTTGAAGACAATGTCATCATCCCATCTTCTTTTTACTTTGAAGTTGGCCTGAGGCTGGGATGGACCTGTGAGATTAAGAAGTGGGTTTCCACTCAGAATGTTTTCCATGAGGATTCTCTCTTCTTCAGCTTTCTGTTCTTGTTTCTTCCCGGCTTGCTCTTCAGCTCTTTCTTTTACATTTTTTCTAGTTCCACCAGAAGAGCTGCAGTGTCATCATCATCACTCTCCTCTTCATCATCTTCATCTTCATCCTCCTCATCTGGTAGAGGATCATCTGCATCAAGGTTAGCAGCAGGAGTCTGGTCTAGCCTAGGCTTCTTTGACACTGAAGAAGAAGTTGTATGTTCTTGTGTGGGACGATCTCTATTTTTTTTCTCTTGCAGCAGCTCTTTCTCTCTCTTCCAACTCTCTTCTGAAGTCCCGATTGTGGACTTCTTCACGGGCATCCTGAGGTGTCTGTCTATATTTTATCTTTGTATGTGAGGGTAGGTCTCTGGCTGAATACTGCTTGGAAAGCTGGCTCCAATCATCTTCTCCTTTTCCTCTTCCACCTCTTTCAGGCTCAAAAGTTGGTCTGGCTGCTGTTGCCATTTCGGCTAAGATCTGAAGCAGCAGCCTCCACAGATCATACAGACAGCCTTATCTACTTTGAGTATTTTATTAGGAGGAGGGGCCAGTAATAGAGAAATATGTCTTGAAGAAAGTGCAGCCAGATTGCTCCTTGGAGGAAAAATGATAAACTTTGCATCTCATTCTTTGGGTATGTCGTGAGGAGAAGATAATCCTTGGAGATGGGCATGATGTGTAGAAAGGCACAGCGTCGGTTAAAGCGAGGAAGACCCTCAACTAAGTGGACAGACACAGTGACTATCACAGTGGGCATTATTGTGTCAGGAAGTGTGAGGATGGCACAGAAAAGGACAGGGATCAGATCTGTGGCCACTACGGGTCTCACTTGATTTGATGGCACCTAACAACAACATCAACAGTGTTCCCTTGATCTGTTTGTACATTAGCTTATTGGTCTAGGTATATAATTTCTAAAATTCCCATTCTTCTCAATGATCCATAATTTGTTCTGATCCACACAGTCAAAAGCCTCTGCATAGTAAATAAGGCACAAAACCAGATTCTTCTGGTATTCTATGTTGTTAGCCATTATCCATCTGAAATCAGCAAGGATATCCCTTTTCTACTAGGTAACCAGAATCCCTTAAGCTGATGTGTGTGTTTTATTTATATATATAT